TTCAGGTTTTACACAGCTGAATAATTTTACTGAGCAGCCACTGATTTAAGAAGTTAGGTCATGCTATAAAACATCAGGGAATGAATACTCTGCAAAGGGGCCAAGGGAATATTTGGTATGTCTGTGTCTGCCCTCCCTTGGAGCATGGCTGAAAAGGTTCTCAGCAGAATTAGGCTCAAAAAGACAGGCAGCAAGATGATCTGCCCCTGCTTCAGTAAATCAACACTTACATTTACATATCACGCTAAATGCAAGACAGTCCCTGAAATTAAGGAAAAGTAGCAAAAATCAAATCAGAAATGTAGCTTTCCTAATATAGTCTGATCTCCCAGTGGCAAGCTGAACAAAATGCCTGGTTTGCCTGTCAAGACCTTATCTGAGGGCAGAATACAAAAACTATCACACACAGCAGAGTTGGCTAACCCTATAATCCTGCCCATTTCCTCCAAAGATTATCTAGAAAACCACAAATCACAGAAATACAGCGTGGAAAAGACTTGTGACTACTTCCCCCAAGATAATCTTCCATACACAACTCAGCCCATAATTCAGTTGTTCTTTCTTCCCCTCTGGTTCATTCCACCAATTACAGGTTTCGGACTACTGAACAGCACACTACAGCTACAAAAGTCAGTGCCCTGCTATCAGGTATCTCATACAGCCTCAGGAAAAAAAAAAACACAAAACAATCAGAATCTACTCTCGCAAATTCATTAAGGAAGAGGCTTTTGAAAGAACTGGGTTATCCTGTAAACTTACAAAAAGAAACAACCAAGAAGGAAATAGTTTATAGAAGCAACCTGAATGCCAAGCCTGGCAACTGTCATATTAACATATAACACGCGCTCTCTTCGAGCTCTCTTAAACCAGAAATCATTAGTCAAACATGATTAATAAGTAGTCAGTACTCAGAACAATTTTTTTTATATATATACACACATGCACACAGGTATAAATATATGCGTGCGCATGCATGTATGCACATATATATATGCACACACCTCCCTATATAGGGCATACCTATACAAAGAAAATACAAATTCAAAGATGTTCAGACAAGAGTGAGTCACCCAGTCACAAAAAACAAGGGAGAAGAAATCAATCAAAGCCACGTTTGATACAAGATTTCCATGTTGCTAATGCTGGATTGCCTTTGGCAAAAACAGGAAGGAAGTTTAAGTGAATGGGAGACAAAAATAGGAGTTCATCACAGCAAAACAAAAAAAAAAAAAAAAAAGAAAAAGTAGGGAGCTCAAACATTTCAACCAGTTCCAGGGATAGTGCCTAGAAAAAGCAAACAGAGCTTAAATCACTACAAGCTAGCTACAACCCTGATGCAGCTAAGGAACAGTCTTAATAACAAGTGTTACAGAACCATAGAACGGTTTGTGTTGGAAGGGACCTTGAAGATCACCTAGTTCCAACCCCCTGCCATGGGCAGGGACACCTCAACTAGCCCAGGTTGCTCAAAGCCTCATCCAGTCTGGCCTTGAACACCTCCAGGGATGAGAGACGCACAACTTCTCTGTGCAACCTGTTCCCGTGCCTCACCACCCTCACAGGAAAAACACTTCCTCCTAATATCTAATCTAATACACCCTTTCAGCTTAAAGCTGATACCCCTTGTCCTGTCGCTATACTCCCTGATCAAGAGTCCCTCCCCATCTCTCCTGTAGCCCCCTTTAAGTACTGGAAGGCTGCTCTAAGGTCTCCCCAGAGTCTTCTCTTCTCCAGGCTGAACAGGACACATTGCTGGGTCACGTTGAGCTTCTCATCAACCAACACTCTCAAGCCCTTTTCCTCAGGGCTGCTCTCTATCCATTCTCCACCCAGCCTGTATTTATGCTTGGGGTTGCTCAGACCCACGTGCAGGACCTTGCACTTGGCCTTGTTAAATTTCATGAGGTTGGCACGGTCCCACCTCTCCAGCCTGTCCAGGTCCCTCTGGATGGCATCCCTTCCCTCCAGTGTGTCCACCACACCACACAGCTGGTGTCATCAGCAAACTTGCTGAGGGCACGCTCAATCCCATTATTTACAACTGTTTTTCAGTTTGATGCTATTTTGTATTGTTTCTAGTTTTCTACTCAAGAATTAAACCCTCTGTTTTGTTAGAATAAAGCCAGGTTTAAGGTTGCCCAGTGCCTAAAAATGCCTAGCTGTTAAAATGAACTGAAGTGACTATGAGGCGCACAGCTTTCAAAGAGTGCCAGTCTTACTGGATTTGGAGAAATCCTTTGAGGTACCTCTAAACTGAGTCAGATTTAAGGTTCTTGGATATTGGCCAAAAAAAAAAAAGTCTCTGGCCTTAGAGATCCTGGTGTCAAGCACCAAGGAAGATGGGAGAAGTCCAAGGAACGCTCCAGCTGGAAGAAACAGGTGGAGCGATCACAGCAGCATGAAACCTTTATGTAAGAAAACGCTTGATATGCAGGTATCAAAATTAAATTCATTGGCGAACTATTTTATTAAAGGTACTAGCAGTATGATAGTTACCTCTGAAATTTTCTCATCACTGCTGGACTTCAGTTAATTATCAGCCCACTGCCATTAATCTGTGTTTAAGTTCTTCATGAAGACAGATAACAATTTCAAGCCCTACTCATCAGTATGCTACTGCATTTTCTGCTATACTTTTCCTGGATTTTTACATTACTCTTCCCATTGGACCTGCCTTCAAGAATCACTTTATATAAAACTCTGGGTACCTAGCACCTCAATTTGCAACTGCTTCCTACGTGTCCTTCCTGGTTACCAGATGGGACGTTATGCTCTTCTCCCTTTTTCCTCCACTCCCCACAGAGCCAGCTTGATTATGAGGGTAATATGAAGGAAAAAATGTCATTGCTTTGCAAACTGACAAAGACATGAGAAGAAACATTATTCTTTCTCAGATAAGCTTCAGAAATCCAACTTACTGCTCTCTAGAGCTTTTCTCAAACAGCAGTAAACAAACACATACACAGTTATCTCCACATGCTGGCACCTGCATAGAAATACTTGCAAGCCAATTATGTATCATTTCGTATTGAACTGCAAAGAGACCTTGCAACCTGAACTGTAACACTACCAGTACTGACGTTCTGCTGGGTGCACCTTTGCCCTACAGACTCATTCACATTTGTCCCATTTTGCAACAGAGTAGCACTGGAAATCACAAAGGCACAGAGCAGAGGCATGAAGAGAGACTAGCAGAAGGAATGTGAAAGAAAACTTCTCACTGAAGCATTAAGATTCGCTGATCATGGATAGCAATGGCATTTTAAAAAACAAAACTAGCGTTGCCAAGAATCAGCCATGTGGAGTTCAAACAGCAAAGTGGAAAATCTAGTCTCAAGCTCAACATCAAGTTAAAGATTTACAAAAGTGTTTTACTCAAGTTACTGTTACACAAAGGCTTCTGAAACAGTGTTCGGAGAAGTTTAACACTTCCGCTGTTTGCAGGAGGTTTCTGAAAGCCAGTGGATAGGCAGCTGTCTTTTGCTTGTCTCATGAAATTTACTTCACTCTATTTCATAAGCTGGTTAAAAAAGCAAAGAAAAAACCCCAAGACCAAGCACTCCTTCACAGTATTTCCCTTCTTGTACTCATGCTGCTTGAGGAATTTCTGGTTATAGGCTAAATGAGCACAATATAGTTTAAAAAACTATATCGCACTACCAACAATGTAGTAACACTGGAAATGCTTGCTATCACCAGACAACCCCCAAAGGAAGGAAATGGAAGGGCTGATTAAAAAAAAATAAATCACATTTATCCTTGATTTCTGCAAAGTGGTTTTGCAAGCTTTCCATAGGCACAGACAAAAGCACAGGACCAGGTACCCCCAAGCACCTCTCAGAGAGGTAACAGAGCTCCTCCAATTATCCTTCTGTGCACTGCACAAGACTGCAGCAACCTGCCACCAACAACTCCTCCTGGAGATGTCAGTTCCTTCTCTGTCTCTAAAGACAATAAAGTGGGTGGGCCGTCACTCCCATTCTGTTGACCCACTTCATGGCAACAACAGTTAATAGCTTTCCAGTAGCTATCAGCTCTCATACACAGTCCTTTACAGCATTATGGACATGTATACCAGCATCTAAAGGCAACTAAGGATGTAATCTGGTTTAAAAAATGTAAAATTATAACTTATACAAATATTTATAACTATATATAGAAAGACCAGAGTAAATTCAGAAAGTCATCTAGCCCATCTCCCCACCTCGCATCTTACATTCAGATGGGCCAGAAAGACTTTTTGTTTTTGACTTAATGGATGATCCTTCTTTAAGCATGAGGTTGGACCAGATGCCATCTTGAGGTCCATTTCATCCTGAACTCTCCTATGATTCATAAAATGCTGATACATAGACAAGGAAGTTGTTATAACTTCTCATTATAAAAAAAACTTCTAATCACTTTTTTAAAAAACAAGTAACTTTTATACCTAGGCTGAAAGAAAACATCAATGGCAGTGTCTACTTCTTGAGATTTATTAAATCCAGCTTTTGCTCCTTTTTCTGGAGCATAAGCATTCTGACAAATGTTAGAATCATACAATCATGCATTCTTCTTTCCTCTGGGCTTTGAAACACAGTCTATATATGGAACAGGTGCACAAAGAAAGGGGACAGAAGCATACAGAGACTCGGTCTGGGAAGAGTCATAAGTTCTTTAAATCTAGAATGCTTAATGCTGAATCCTAAAAAATGTATCTGCACATATGGAAAAGCAGTGGTAGAACATGCAAATGAAGCCTGGCTTTGCTCCATTAAATTAAAAAGAGGTGGTGAGTACCCAAATCCGCTACACTATTGTTGTGCTATACTAGTAACACTACTCCTCATGGACCACACACTTCAATACCAAGAAAGATCCACTCCAACACGATCTGTTGGGCAGGACTATAGCATTTTTTCACGTCTACTACCTTCACACTCCTGTCCCTAGAAATGCAAACAGTTCAGTTACACCTCAGATGGTTACCAGGAGGCAATGCCTTGGTTTTCCATTCTTACCTTCTCTCCACTAGAGTAGAAGAAATAACGCAATCGGACAATGTTACAATGATCCAACTTCCTCATAATCTGGAGCTCTCGGTTCTGAAACCAAAGAGAAAAGCAAACAATTAGTGAAAACTCTTTTCTCACAAAGTTAAGAGTATTGTAATGAACAGGAGCTTACAAAACTAAGGAACCAAAGAACAACTGAAACTGGAAAGAGGCAACGGCTTCCACATCTTTATTAGTCTTTCTTCCAATTACTTTATCACTGAGAACATTGACATTTTTGAGTACAGTTTCCCTCTGAAATGAAGGTCCACAAATACATCACAAAATCGAAGAGTTACATAGTTATGTTACTGAAGTTTCAGTGGTAAAAAGCAAGATGACATTAACTTTCCATTTTTATTTTCTGATCTTACAATAATACATTGTATGTGTCAGAATTCTTGGAAGCCTCTCTCCCTGAATACTGTAAAAAAAAGAAAATAATGTAAAAGCAAACATAATATTTCCACCTACATGCTAACTCTCTATACTGCAAAACAGGTTTGTGACAGAAGATCATTTCCCATACCATTCTTTTTGCAATACCAACAAAAAGCACCTGAAATTGAGTAGGCAACCCAATTCCCACTTCTGTTCAACCAAGGTTTAACCAGGTTTAGGCAGACAGAGTAACAGTGTTATTTTCCCATTTTATATCAACCTGAAAAAGCTGTTAAAATAAAATCAGTTCATTACATGCACAATGAATTTGGGACCTTGCTGCAATACTCATTGTGACTGAGCCCTAAACAAATGAAGGATTTTATAGCCAGATAAAAATAAGTTAAATGTTGAATTACAGGTATGAATAAAAACAAGCAAGTAAAATTAGCACAGTTACATTTGTTAGACTTCATTCCACACCTTTTGCTACAATACTCCTTTCTCCTACAGTCACATTTACACATGACTATTTTTCCTTCCTCAATTACTATACAATCTGCAGCTTCAAAATTAGAAGGTATTCCAATTTTTATGTGGATCACGGGGTTGCTAATCACGCTTCCTAACTAGCTAGGACCAATACACTAGACTAATATACTGGTCCTACCAGCATCATTAACTCTGACCAACATCAGGAATATTAGGGAAGAAAATTCTTTACCCACCACACATTTTCATACCTAAATGCACAAAGCTAACACCTACTTTGTGTGAAGCTACTGCTGTATTTCATATTCTGTGTATCAGAGGATCACATACACTGCCTATCACTATGATTAATGCTTAAGGAACTCCACAAGAACCACTCAGAGCTTCTAACGTGAACATGGCTACAAACTTCGCTTTTAATTCCTCTAAGACATGTAGCCCTAAAAGAAAGAGGTGTTAGGGAGGATGCAGTATCATAAACCCTTTCATCACTGCCACTCTCTGACTGAAAAAATACTTCAGTATTAGCCATCTCTTTACAAATGCAAGTGACATCTCACACAATTATCAGCTGGCAATTATCCAGCTAGTATTTAAGGACAAAGCAACTTCTTCCCTGAGACTGCTTGGCTTCTGTAAAGATTACAGCCTAAGTCCGTAAGATGCACACCAAGGCAGGCCTATTCTATCCTGAAGGCTGAAAAGAAAAAGAGAAAGCAGGGAGAGACCTTTGAGGCTTTCATGTATCTTCTGAAATCCCATGGGGTGAATTCATGAAAGGAATACAGGCTTCATCGCATAACATCGTCAACATGCCTCACATCTCAGAGAACAGGGTTCTCCTGTTAGGAACGGATGCTCAAATGTTCTCCACTTATTCTTTCTTAAATGCTATCGGAAATAAATCAATTCTGAAAGTCACGGATGGGGGTTACCATGAGGCATGGCACAGTTTAGACTTCAAACCAACAGAAAGATATCTCGTCTTGTCCGAACCACATGTCACTGCTGGCTCAGTGGTGTCTCCCTGGTCCTTAAGACCTAGGGCAAATTTCAACTAGCAAGCTGAAGCAGGGATGGCTCTAGATCTCATCAGTCACTGAAACACCAATTATGAGAAGAGATTAATTTCTCCAGTCAGTTTTACAGCACTTAACAGTGATATTACAAAAACAAGCAGGTGATTGGTGACAACCA